TGTATTTGGTTTCTCTCTCTTTGTTTCTTGGTGAGTCTAGCTAAGGGTCCATCAATCTTGTTTTGAAAACCCAGCTCTTTGTTTCATTGATCCTTTGAATTGTTTTTTGGTCCCTATGTCATTTATTTCAGCTCTGATCTTTATTATTTCCTTCCTTCTACTTTCTCTCTTTGTTGTTGTTGTTGTTTGTTTTCTAATTCTTTAAGTTGTGAGATTAGATGGTCAATTAGAAATTTTTCTTGATTCTTGAAGTAGGCATGTGGTGCTATGAACTTCCCTCTCAGAATTGCATTTTCTGTATCCCATAGATTTTTTGTTGTTGTGTGTTGTTCATTTTCATTGGTTTCCTGGAAGTGTTTAATTTCTTCCTTGATCTCCATGGTAACCCATTCATTGTTTAATAACATGCTATTTAGCCTCCATGTGTTCAAATATCTTTGCATGTTTTTGTCGCAATTGATTTCTAGTTTCATGCCATTGTGATCTGAGAAGATGCTTGATATGATTTCAACCTTCTTGAACCTGTAGAGATTTAGTTTGTATCTTATCATGTGGTCTGTCTTTGAGAATGTCCCATGTGCACTTGAGAAGAATATGAATTCTATAGTTTTGGGATGTAATTCTCTATAGATATCTCTTAAATTCATTGGGTCTAGTGCATCATTTAGAGTCTCTGTATCCTTGTTAATTTTTTGTCTAGAGGATCTATCCAGTGATGTCAGCGGGGTGTCGAAGTTCCCTGCTATGATTGTATTGCTGTTGATTTCTCCTTTGAAGTCCTCCAGAAGATTTTTAATATATGTTGGTGTTCCTATATTGAGTGCATATATGTTTATCAAGGTTATATCTTCCTGTTGCATAGATCCTTGCAATATTATGTAGTGGCCTTCTTGTCTCTAGTTATGGCCTTCATTTTCAAATCTATTTTATCAGATATGAGTATTGCTATGCCAGCTTTTTTCCCTTCCCATTTGCTTGAAAGTGTTTTTTCCATCCCTTCACTTTCAACCTATGTGAGTCTTTTGTTGTGAGGTGGGTCTCTTGTAAACAACATATAGATGAGTCATGCTTTCTTATCCAATCAGCTACTCTGTGTCTTTTTATGGGAGCATTCAGTCCATTTTCTTTTAAGGTGATAATTGATATATACATATTATCATTTTTGTTCAGTTTGGTTCTATTTTTCTTCCTATTTCCTCTACTAATTACAGCAGTCCTTTTAACATTTCTTGCAGTGCTGGTTTGGTGCTAATGTATTCCCTTAGCCTTTTTTCATCTGGGAAGCTCTTTATTTGACCTTTTATTTTGAATGATAGCCTTGCTGGGTAGAGTAGTCTTGGATTCAGATCCTTGGTTTTCATGACGTTGATTACTTTTCGCCCCTCCCTTCTGGTCTGTAGTGTTTCTGTTGAGAAGTCAGCTGAGAGCCTTATGGGGTTTCCTTTGTAGGTAACCTGTTGCTTATCTCTTGCTGTCTTTAGGATTCTCTCTTTGTCTCTAATTTTGTCTGTGTCTTGGTGTGGGCCTGTTTGGGTTCTTCTTACTTGGGGCTCTCTGTGCTTCTTGAACTTGAATGCCTTCTTTCTTCACCAAGTTAGGAAAGTTTTCTCTCACTATTTCTTCAAATATAGTCTCTAACCCTTGTCCATTTTCTTCCTCTTCGGGGACTCCTGTGATGTGAATGTTATCACATTTCCAGTTGTCCCACAAATCTCTTCAGATGTCTTCCCGTTTTTAATTGCTTTTTCCTTTTGATTTCTGATTGATTGATTTTTTCTACCCTGTTTTCTAATTCACTGATCTGGTTCTTCGCTTCCTCTAGTCTGCTGGTCAGTCCTTCCAACATGTTCTAAATTTCTGCTATTTCATTCTTCATTTCCACTGGTTGGTTTTCAATGTTTCTATATCTTTACTCATGGTGTTGATGTCCTTACTCATGCTGTTGAGCTTCCTCAAGATCATGGCTCTGAACTCTACCTCTGATAATTTGCTTAGCTGCATTTCATTGATCTCATCTTTGATAGAGTTCTCTTGTTCTTTCATTCGTGATTTGTTTTTTTGTTTCACCATTTTGGCTATCACAGTGGGTTTTGGAGCCTGCCAAATTTTCCCTGTGGGTGTTGGTGTTCTGCTATTTCTGGCTCCCTCTATTGGGTTTGGATGAGCCTGGGTGGGCCCACATTAAACACCACTGTCAAGTCTTACTTTCCTAGGTAGATTTGCAAGCCCAAAAAGGGTTCAGTTATCCTCTAGCTTTTTCCTGGTGGCTAGTAGTCTCAGTTACGCAGTGCCTTGGAATATAGCCCTGGTGTTCTGTGTCAGAGGATTTCCAGAGGGTGGGATAGATGCAGGTTATTAATGAGCCTTAATTTGCATTTCTTTGCTTCTTCTGGGAAAGGCTGAATCTCTGAGGGGTGGGGGGCTGCTGTTTTTCCCCACAGCTCTGGGAAGGAGCACATTGGCCACTGTCCTTTGTGGCCACAATTCAGCAAAAACTCTGAGTGCCCTCCAAATCCCAGGTGTCCCCACAGAGTTCCAGCCCAGGTTGCCCTCAGTCTGCTGTAGCCCCCAGGTGAGTGGCTATGGCTTTTTAGCACTATGTCCTTGCTCTCTGCACTGTGGAGCAGGGTTGGTCTTTATTCCCATGGGCCCAGCTCATAGCTAAGACTGCTGCTGTCTATGGGCTCTCAGCCTGCCACCCTCTCACACTTCCACAGATCCTACCAGTGTCCCTGGTTAAATGGTCCTCTCCTGCTGCTTTTCTGTTGCTCTTTTCCGAGGATCTATCTTTATTTTAGTTGTAATTCCCGTTTGGTCCTGGGAGATCATCTGTGTAGCTTCTATTCACTCTGCCTCCATTTTTCACATTCTCTATGCCTATCTTGTGTGCAGCTGAGTCGCACAGGCCTTCCTGGTGCTTCAGCACCCCACAGGGCCCGTGGGTAACCAGATCGCACAGTCCCTGCTGGGTCGCACAGGTCTCTCTGGTGCTTGAGCATCCCACAGGCCCCATGGGTAACTAGATAGTGCCATCCCTGCTCTTTTACACAGGCTTTCTTGTGCCCCTGCATCTTGCAATTCCCATGCGAGGGCAACTGGATTGCACCAGTCTCTAGGGCTCAGGCTCCCCACTGCTCTTGTTGGCTACTGGACAGCACAGGCTTGTGTGGAGCCCCAGGTCCCGCTGCTGCTGGCTGGGGAGTGCTGCTGCCCTGTGAGGCTCAACTCCTGCTCAGCCTTGGTTGTATTTTTGGGGGATGGGTCTCAGCTGCTGGTCTGTGCTTCTATTGCATGGGGATGGATGTCTGCTCCCCAGCCTCTGGTGCTGGGGGTATATCTGGACTCTGATTGGGCTGCTACTGTGGAGGATGATGCTGGGCTCTGGGCTGTCTGCGGCTTCCATGACCAGCACCTTGGGAGCTCCACTCTGTGCGCTGGTCTGTGTTGACACAGAGTGTCCCTTGGTCCGATGGTGCCAGGTGCGCTGGTGGGCTCAGGTTGCTGGGCCCTAGCCGCTCCCACTGCCTCCTCCCAGGGAAGACCTGGGATCTTCCAAAATGGTGGGACCTCCCTGCGGTGCAGGGAGAAGCACCCTGAAGGGCAGCTCACCGCAGTAGCCGGCTGCTTCGTCCACAGCACAGGAACCTACTGCTCCATGGCTCTGCACTGCTTGGGTCTGGTCATCCACCTTCATGTCCACTCACACTCACACACTCGCTCACTCTCTCACACACTCACCCTCCCTCTGGTCCTGCCTGCTGCCATCTTTTTTTCAATACTTATGATTTCAAGAGATCTAATATGTACTTCTATTTGACCCCTAATTGAACTGGAGTCTATCACTAAAAATTACTTTCCCTAAGTTCTTATACTTGGTCAATGAGCTTGAGAATCATAGATTTACTGTGTTGTGACTGTTCATTTATTTTCTAGTTTCTAACTTATTACACAGAAAATCTCTGTCCTTGCATCTTTATAGAACCTCCAGGTGTCCTGGCCAGTTTGGCTCAGCAGTGATAGCATCGGCCCTCAGACCAAAGAGTCTTGGGTCCAGTTCTGGTCAAGGGTATGTGCTTTGGCTGCAGTTTGGTCCCTGGCCCTGGTCAGGGTCATGTGGGAGGCAACCAGTCGATGTGAATCTCTCACATTGACATTTCCTTCTTTCTCTCTCCCTCCCACTCTATCTGAAGATAAACAGAAAAATACCCTCAGGTGAAGATACAATACAAAGAACTGTCAGGTGATCAGGTTTATGGACATGTTTTGTCAGGCTCTCATGTTGCAGCAGGCACAGGTCTGATCTTTATACTTAATGCTTCCTGCCACACTAGGTTCAATTCTTGATGTAGATTAATTTGAAAGATTTACCACTTAACTATATGAACAAAGTCTATGTGATTCTTTGAAAAACAGAATGTTTTCTGAGATACTTGTAATGAATCTTGTGCTACTTTGGTCTATTGAAATATTCCAGCTTCATGAACGATACACCTTGGACAAGACCCAGTATTCCCCTTTCTTTTGACCCAAAGCTTGACCACCATAACAGGTAGGGTTTATTAATATGGTTAGTAATTGATGCTAACCGTAAAAGCTTGGATTTTGACTAAGTATCAGCTAATTTTTTTAAAACCTATTCTTATAAAACATTTTGACCAACCAATCACAAAACTTTACATCATGACTCATTCAGAACTCTCATTTCAACTGTGATTAGGTGTTAATAATACATTTGCTTTGAGCTGATGATGATATTCCAAGATGAGAAAACACTGTGGGGAGTTTTAATTGCATGGATTGACAAACAACATCTGTGGCAGTCAGTGCAAATACAAGTTTCTACTGATGTTGCAATGTTTGATTTAAAAGTTAACTTCATGCTGCTACAGTGATCCTATAATTTAAAAGAGATTCCAGGCTACATTTGTTCTGCTGCTTATTATTCAATATTAATTGAAATATTTTCATCTCGGCACTGTGAAGAGGTCGAAAAGAAAAATATGATAGGACCCAAAGTTATCTGTTTTGGACTGTTTTGTGTTCTCTTTGCCTATCAATTTTATACACCCTTACCAGGCAACATTGAAGAACGTTGGAAAGTAATGGCCTTGATTGCATTTGCTAAAACTTGTACAATTGTGGTAAGATTATTATTTTTTTCTCTTAGATATTGGGGTGACTTGTTTAGCAAAAATCAGTACTTATACATTTTCTATTAGTTACTGTTTTTAAATCACCATTGTTTGTTTCTTAGAATAAATTAACTGCATGAAATTAAGTAAATAAAAATTGGTGCATCTGTGCAAAATAGAATGAGACAGAATTCTTGTTTCCAAAGACTTTATGTCTAAATGTAAAGACTCCATATGTTGTGATATACATAAAATAAATGGTGTTGTTGAAGGCAAAATTTTGAAGTTTATTTGATAACTTGACTTATATTTGAGAGTATCTCATAGTACAGAGATAAAGATCATTGATATTTATTTGTACCTGTATGATGTTAATATAGTGCTCTTAGTGTTTCAATAGCTTCTATTGTCCATCTTTAATTCTAAATTGCCAGGTTTCAGAGATTGTTTGACTTGGAATATGCAAGTTCAAGCAAAAACAGCCCCTTAGTAAGGGGAGATATGGTTATAAACTAACATTTTTGAGGTTTTACAATGTATAGGCTTTCTCTAACATATACCTCTGCTCATCCCCACTACCCTACAATTATTTTTACCAGTTTATAGAAGAATTCATGCAGCTAGAAATTGGCAGTTCCAAAATTTGAACACAGGACTGTCTCATTTCAAAACACATACTCTCTCTCTGCAAAACCAGGTGTCTCCTAGAAAGATTCTTTGAGAAGAGTAGCAATAGGAGGCTGAAGGGAGAAGGCATCCCAGCAGCAGCTGGTTAGAGAAGAGAGTGAGCCATGGTATGAAGGAGAGGCTGTCCCATGGAGCTTTGTACAGTGGACAACAGTTCCTGTTTGTGTCTGCTAAGTCCTGATACTTTTCTCTCTGGTCACTTCTGGAGGCTCACTTTCACCATAACTGTCTTCCCGGCATTCTCACTCCTTCGTTTCACATGATGCGCGTTAGCAAGTGACAGGTCTATGGAGAAACGACTGTTATCTCATTTGACTATTTCGTGTGTATTTAAAACTCAAAGTGACAGATACTGATGTCATCACCAGAATTACATTAGCAGAACAGCCAACTCTACTGTTCTACTTTTAAATTCTCAGCTACAAATTATTCTTACCTATCTGTAATAAAATATTGCCTTTTATGTATTTGATATCAGAGAGGGGTTGCCCTTTATTTAAAAAAATATTAAGAAAAGCATGGATATAGTTACTTTAAAGATTATTCTAGTAAAATTAACAGTCTTTAGCTGTTGTAGGGAAAACAATTTTATTGTTGTCAGTACTGAATTTTGTAACTCAAAGTTGTGATACCAGTAAGAAAATCAATTTTTTGAACATATGAAAGGGAGGTGAAAATTAAAGTTCTTGGTAAAGTTGCCTTGAAAAATAAACACAATACTATATAATCATATATGAAATTGAAAGAGTTTGGTAAAAGAAAGCATGCCCAATCCTGAATAGTTGCCTTAACTCTTCATGTAAATTTTTTATCTTTAAAAGAAGATATTACTAATAAATACTTTGCAGCATTGCTCTAAGAATTAGATATCTTGTATGCTCAAAGAACACAAAATAATCTCCAAAGTGGTAGCTTTTGTTATTGTTCCCAAAGTACTTAAGTATCTATTCAAGACCAGGAAATATATGAAAAATGAGAAACAAGGCAATTTGCCAAAAATCTAATTTTTAAAAGCCAACTCACCAAATAAAAAATTAACCTAATTTAACCATTTACCACAAACATGCTTTAAGGAACATTCTATGTGAGAGCACTCAATTAGCATTAAAACACTCAAAAACTCATTTTAGTGAGGAATATTTATCTAACAATAAGACAAGGGTTTCTCAATACTTATGTGGGCCACTCTTTTCTAGTGCATTGACAGTCCTAACTCATTTAAACCCTACTGAAACTCAGTGAGGGATTCTATTGTTGTTGTTGTTATTATTATTATTATTATTTGATCACAGCTGTATAGATAAGAACACTGAAGTTCAGAGAGTAATTTGCTAAGGTCATACAGCCAGTACAGGTGGTGTAAAAGACTGGTCTAGAAAAATGGGTTCAGATTTGGTTATGACATTACTGGCTGTAATTTATACTTTCTGCATGCTTCCTCAACATTAAGGCTAGGGATTGGATATTCTCTAAGACCCTGTAATACTTCAAACTCTTCAAAATAATTGTAGTAATAACGAGTGTTTAATGGACTATTGACCAGACCTAGCTGGTATGGCTTAGTGGTAAGAGTGTCGCCCATGAACCAAAGAGTCCCGGGTTCGATTCCAGCCAAGGGTACGTACCTCGGTTGTGGTTTGTGCAGGTGGCAACCAATCGATGTGTCTCTCTCACATCAATGTTTCTCTCTCTCTCTCTTCCTCCCTCTCTTCTTCCAGCTCTATCTGAAGATTAATGTAAAAATATCCTTGGGTGAGGATTAAAAACTAATAATAATAATGTACTATTGACGATGTATTTCTTTTTAAGTTTTCCTTTGGAATAAACTATCCAGTGACATGTGACAAAGGTCCTAGTAGAGCTGATCATAAATACCAAGGAGGGATTTTTTTTCCTATGACACCAAATGTGGGATTTTGGAATGGGGTCTGGGGGCGAAAGGGCAATGAACAGGACTCTATTTGGAATTGAAAACCAGGACATTTGAATCATTAGTAGTGTGGTCATAAGGCAACACAAAATTTTGAATGAATAAAGTTAACAATAACTAAAAAGAAGAGATGACAGCATGCCATAAACAAAACCAAAACAAACAAAAAAGACAGAAAAGATGTTTTAAGACCTAGAAATTTTCAGATAAGAATTTTCAATTAAGCAATAATTATGACAGGCATAAAAGAAACTGTCAGTAAATTGCAGCTTTGAAATGAGAGAGTATTAATCTAAGAAAACATAATACTTGAGATTTTCAAAGGCAATAAGTTATGCAATAAGAGCTTTACAGTATTATTCAGAAATAATTTTATAAGCATTTCTATTTCTGTTTATTTATTTTGCTAATGTTTTCTTTATTTTTCCTTTCTGTGAATTTGATGCTATTTAAAGATAACATGTTTACTTTTGCTTTGCTTTTACAGGGTAAATGTTTTGAAAATATAGGTATTATGAAATATGAAAATTTTATTTCCATGATACTCAAACTGGATTATAACCAACCACTTTCAGATGAATATATCACGGTGACTGATACAGAGTTTAATAACATTCCAGTATGTTTGTACTTGCCAAAGAGAAAGTCAGAAGCCCTAAGACGAGCTGTAATCTATATTCAAGGTGGTGCGTATTGTTTTGGAAGTTGCAGTAAGTTCATCATATAATTTAAAAATATAACTGGCTTTATGTTTTTAAAATAATAATTATTTTGTATAAATATACCTACTTGTGTTGTGTGTACTATGTATAAGTATAGCTATAAGTATTAGGTACCTAATAGAGAGGTAGACATAGATATGTCTGGCAAAATATATCAGGGAGATTGTTTTTTCCATTTTTGCTTTGGTTTGATTTTTAGTAAGCATTTTCTCCTCAGCTTTTTTATTGAATGAACTTATGTCAAATGAAAGTAGGACATGAACAAGTCAATTATTACATTTTTTTTCCTTTGGGATCAGAATATATTCAGGAACAAAAACATTGAAGTGGTGCAGATGTTTAAACAGTAAATCAAAAGCACATGCTGTTGGTTGCTACAAGAATACGTTTGTGGTCACGACTGCTAATAATGCTCAGAGCGGAAAAGCCTAGAATGGTTGTTAGTCCTGAGTATGAAAGGAAAGCACGAAACAGAACTACATAGTAATCAAGTCTTCCCATGAAGTCTAGCTCCCCTTCTTATATCATGTGAAGATTGAAAACAAATACATAAAAAGTTTACCTTTTTGAAAACTTTGGAAAACTCTGTCATAGAATGGTGCTAGTCGTGTGGGAGGGGTCAGTGTTCTCTGTACTTAAAATAATAAAGTTTAACAAATGAATAGAACTGAAGAAAAATACATGTCATAAATGAATTTTTTTTCACCTTTTGTCTTTGTCTAAGCCTCCCTCAGTTCTAAATTGTTTGAGAATCTTATAAAGATGTGTGCAGTAGAGCAAGTGACACATCACCAAATATCACTAATGAGGATTAGTCAAAGAGAAAATAAGCATGGAAAATTAATGAGGCACAAAGGTTTTGATTAATACACAAAACGTTAAAGTGGTTAGGATGTAGTTTTGGCTTTCTGGTTCGCTCCTCCCGAGCTTTTTTATAACTAACGTCATCAGTTACACATTGCCCAGTGACTTGTCAAAAGAAAATGATTTAGGTGACTCGAATAGAGGTTACAGACTTTATTCAGTTGATGAGCCCCTGGGCGTGTTTAAAGACCGCATGGCTCCTCAATTGAGAAAGAATTATGTGTTTGTTTGTTTGTTTGTTTTTTGTTTTTATATAGGCTGGGAAAAGTTGAGTATGTGTCTTGTCAACTCAGGCGGCAATATTCAACTTTTACAAAAACTCATGGTTGGGGGTCATTCCTACGTTCATGTCCTAGGCCTGCCTTGGTTGGTAGAACCGCGAAAGCCCTCATAACGGTACTGCTTCTGCAAGCTGTGTGTTTTATCAACTACTCAGTGTTCACGGGTCGGGAAGATGGTAGCAGTACAGCAAACATCAGGGGCAGATGCAGAAAGAAGGCAGGGGACACAGGGGCCCTCTATCGTGTTTGTTTTATTGCACAGAGAGAAAAGCAAACACGATCTAACACTAGGTCATTTCAAAAACCAGACAAGAGATCCAGCTCTTTCACTTTAGAAAAAGACTATTATATGAAGAGCATCTTAAAACTCTTCTAACAGGCAGCTATTGACTTTTATGATCATCCTCATAAATATATGCTAAGAGCATGACTACAGACATCTATGTAAAAGCAATTACACCTGAGCAGGTAATAGGATGCATTAACGGTAAAGATTCTGTGGGGATGTGAGTCAGAGAGGACTTTTGAAATATCCAGTGAAGCCAGTGTCCTGTATATTGTTTAGAAAATCCTCAAAGATTTTTTTCTTAAAGATTTTGAAAGAACCTGAGAAAGTGATTTCTGAAGCACAGGGATGAGGAAGGGATGCTAATTAGGTATGAAACCTGAAGACTAGACGGTGGCCCTCCAATTTTAGTGCCTCGGAATCAGCTAGAAGCTTGTCAAGAATGTTGGGCCCCACCTGCAGAATTTTTGAATCTTCAATGGTGGGACCTGAGAATTTGCATTTCAAGTCGGTTTCCAGTATCTGCTGGTGCTATGCTGATCCGGGCACCACACTGCACTGGACCGTTCCCGGAATCAGGCCTCATGCTCCCTGCTGTGGCTCAGACATCCTGTCCCATGGAGGGTCAGTTCTCTCTCTTTCTTGTCAATGACTGTCCTGAGCCTGTGTCACTCCAGGTCACTTAACACCTTCCAGGCTGCTGAAAATTAGGTGTATTGCGATTTTGGAGGAAACGAAAGATATAAGGGATTGTATGGCCTCCACATTTTGAATACTTCATCACTATCTCAGTCCCTTCTTTCTATTAATCTGTTATCAATCAGACCCATCTTTTAGTTCACGTCTTTCTAATACTCTCAGAACAAGAGGCTTAGCCTCTTTTTGACAAAATTAGTCTGTCTACCTTTGCTTTGTATCAGAACCCTCTTACCCTATTATTTGACATCATTATATTACCATCAATCTTTTGTCTTCAAATTTTACTTTGTTTGTTTCTAGTTATATTAAAAAAAAACTCCTTCTAAACATTTTATAGTCATTTTGACCTTGAAAACAATATATACCCTCACTTGACCGAATTCCTCTCTCGAGTCCCGGATCATTTTCCTTTCTTCCTCACTCATTTCTGTATGCTGCGGGCTCTTGTCCTTCCTATTTTCTTGTTTGCCCCACTTCCGTTAGTCCCTCAAGCTTTATAGTCTACTGCATTCAATAAAGACCACTTTTGTCCTTTTTTTAAAGTTTATTTTTTATTGTCGACATAATTACAGATGTCCCCTATCTTGCCACCGCTTATCCCTTCCATCCAACTCAGGCCTTCACCACTCTGTTGTCTATGTTTTGGGGCTATGCATATATGCATATAAATTCTTTGACTCATCTCTTCCTCCCTCCCCACACCCCTTTCGTCTGAGATATGTCAGTCTGTTCCATGCCTCCATGCCTGTGGAAATATTTAGTTTATTTTGTTTATTAGGTCCCACATATAAGTGAGATCATATGATATTTTTCTTTCTCTGACTGGCTAATTTTACTTAGCATAGTGGCCTCTGGGTCCATGCATGCTGTTGCAAATGGGAAGAGACCCTTAATCAACAAGCAAGTGCTGGCGAGGACGTGGAGAAAAGGGGACTCTAGCACAGTACTGGTGGGAATGCAGACTGGTGCAGCCACTATGGAAAACAATATGGGGTCTCCTTAAAAAAATTAAAAAGGCAACTGCCACTTGACCCAGTGATCCCAATTCTAGGAATGTAGCCTAAGAATCTCAAAACATCAATCAGAAAGAATTATGCACCCCTATGTTCATAACAGCGCTATTTACAATAGCTGAGATCTGGAAACAGCCCAAGTGTCCATCAGTAGATGAGTGGATAAAAAAGCTGTGGTGCATATACGCAATAGAATTCTATGCAAGTATAAGAAAAAGGGGGGGGGATCTCTTTTCTCCTTTTTGATATTCACTGATCCTCCCTTTGTTTTCTATGACAAAATATTTCCTAAATTTTCTTTGCCATTCATTATTTTCTCACTCTTTCTCTCATTTCAAAACAAAACAAAACACAACCAAGAACAAAATAACAGATTCTCCATATTTACTCTTTGTATATATTATTGTGCCCCAGGATTTAACCCATACCTTCCAGTTTCAACTCTACACACTCTCTTTTTGAATCCCTTATTTTCTCCAAATATCCATGTGCTACCAACACCCAGTTCTGAACCTCTTTCTTTGACACTACTCTTGAATTCTGGATCCTTCTTTACAACTAAAATTAGACATTTACAACTGGACAAACCAGACATCTCAAGCTCAGTATGACCAAGCACAATTCATTGTCTTATGTACAAAAGCCTTAGAAATCAAATAAAAACCCACCATTTATCTAAATCAACCTCTCATCCTCTTGAATGCTCTCAGTCAACAGCAATTCTCATCAATTCTTTACTGTTCCTTAGTTCTCACATTAAATTACAATATCCCATTTATTCCCTTTTCGAATATATTGACCTCATTGACGCAATGTAGTGTTTCATGGTTTTCTACAGATGTCCCTTTCTGATGTCTCTGCCTTTTTCCTACTCAACTTTATTTCATCTTCTGTATTTAGTGCTCTGGACCTAACATGCATGGTTATATACTTTCTTTGTCTCAGTTCTTCAGGGACTCCCATCATTTAATGAATTAAACCCTACCACAGCATTCATATTTCCAGGTTCTTACACTCTTGAACTTTCTCGTCCCTGCAAATGTAATGCATCTCTCCACATTTTTCTTTCAACTATACAGAGCTGCTTTGAGTCCCCAAATACTCCACGCCTTTTCATTTCTCTCTGTGACGATGCTGTCCTAGAATGTCTTTCAGATTACCTCTAGAAAACTCACACTCATTCTTTACTGTTTAGGTGAAGTACCATTTGTGTTGTGTGTGCACATGTGCATGTAGTATGCACAGATGTGTGTGTGCTCACGTGTGTGCATGTGTAGGCTTCTCTGGTCCTAAAAGATTTTAGCAATGGTCCTATGTTTCCACTGCAGCTTTCATAGGCTTGATACCAACAGTTCTTATTTTGTTTCATAATTGTGTTACACGTTGGTTTTAGCATCTCCCTGGAATGGCATGACCTCTTAGCATCTAGGAAAGCACTGGACTGTAGGAAAGCACTTTGCGTACAGTAAATATTCAACAAATGTCCTTTGGGGAAAAAATGAATAATTGAAGGGACTTCTGTTATTGATCTCTAGAGAGATTATTATCAAAAAATTTTCCCAGTGCTTTTCTCTATGTTTTTTTTTTTTTCATCTTCTTAATGTTTTCAGTAAATTAAATTTTATCTATAATTCAATTTATATTGGGCATTAGGATGGTCAGAATATTCTGCTTCCTTTTAAGATAAATTAAATACCAAATTAGTCTCATTTGTCTCCAAAGAGAGGAGTTAATTCCACGAGAGTTTTTCTAAGGTCTGTGAAATAACCAAGTGCTCATATTCATATTACTGGGGACTCCGTAAGGACAAAAGAAAAGCCCACAGACAGGGAGATATCACTTTGAAATTTGAAAATAACAATTTGAAAAAATGTGCAGCAGACACCTTAGAAAAGTTTGGAATTTGAGAAAAATCTATAATTCTCTGAGTTTTTAGAATCTTGTGATAAATAAAGTAATAGCAGATGGTACAGATTTGCCAAAGGGCTGTGACCAGGGCACTGCACTAGTAAATTGGATTTATGGGTACATGAAGATAGATGTGGTGTGTGTGTATGTGTGTGTTAGGGGGAGAAATGATGACTTGTGTGTTAAACATGCAAAACATATATGTAAATCTAAGTCCACATACTGATTTGCCAGAGACTGTCTCAAAATCTAATTGCCTTTTCTTAGACTCTGTCTTAAATTTCAAGATTATTGGGCCATTTCACAAAGTAGTGTATTACGAGTAAATGAAGGTTTTTAAGAAGTCACGTTATGGAGCGTTGTCATTTTAGACAGTCACTACATCTATTACTTTGTCGTTTCTCTTAATTCTAAGCCAATCGAAAGATTATACACAGAATTCAAGTAAATAAAAGTCAACACATAACCATTGTTTCTAGAGAAGCTTGGGGAATGTGTGTTCAGGTGTTGCTGAGTCAGAGATATGAACCCATGTATAGCGGCGGGCCCTGCGGACCAATCACATGCCGCCTCCCTGTGAAACTGTCTTCCCGAAGAAGCAGAGCACCAAGCCACAGAGAGTTCTTGGGAGGGTCATTGCGTATGACAAGGGGAAATTAGAATGGTTAAGTGTAGCTTCCACTCCCCAAAGCGCCAATGGGTCAGATCATTTTTTTACTCCTGGGGAGAGTTACAGAAGAATCACTCCTGTAGACTGTGTCATGTTGATGCGGGTCCCTGTGCCTGAAAACAGGGTGGGGGACAGTTGCCTTGTAATACTCAAATCACATTTCTGAAGCTGACATCCCCAGCAACAAAAATACAGAGACTTCTAATTCAATAGTTCTTTCAGGACATTGTGACACAGGACATTGTGACATAGTTCTTTTTGTTATTGTTTGTTTTTTGTTTGTTTGTTTTGTTTTTAACTAGGAAGCTATGGAAATTTAGAGGGAAAACAAAAGTAAAATTTCATCAACTAAAGTCAATTACTATTGCTGTTACTATGGTTACTTATAGTATCTGGAAAAACTTCTTGTTTTCAGGAATATTTCTGATACATAATATTCTGACATTCTCCTTCTTACCTCTGTGGCTTTTAATGTAATCTAAATCTTGTCATTTCAAATCTGTTTTAATACAATGATATATTTGGCATAGGCATATATATTCTATCAAATTCTTATGATTTGTGTTGTACTCTGCTCTAAAAAAGTCTAATTTACTGTATTTAAATAGATGCCAACATCTTTTGGGTACATACCTTTAATTAAACTTTACCTAGGATTTTCTAAATACAGTTTATAATAAATATTTAAGGAGCATCTCATCAACATTTAATATTAAGTGTAGATATTTGCAGATTTTAACATTCTGAAGAACTAAACGAAAGAGTGAGCTCTGAGCACAGGCTAACAGAGGTATTGTCCTGTTTTTACGGGTCCCCATACATGGAAAAACATCTATTTGTTTCTATTAAAGGAATTGTGTGATGGTGTGCCTTCCAAATGAATTTCCCAGGAACTAGCAAGATTACTAACGTATGTAAATGTTATTTATATTTTAAAATTTTTATCTAGAATCAACTTCTGGGCATTATCCATGATGAGGTATGTGCATCACCAGTGTGTAAATTTTTTATTTAAATGACCTTGAAAAAAATAGGCCTAGACTATGCTCTCAGACCTTCTGCCTTCAAACATTGATGGTGCTTTTTGAATAATTTTTGAAAAATGTTTGGATCACTACATACACTGAGAATATGATGTAAGTTGTGGAGTATCTTCGATCCAAAATGCACTTGGACTAAAAGTTATGGTTCCAATATCAGAGACTTTATAACCCACCCCTTAGTCCCCACATTTGATGTCATTCATGGCCTTCAGATATGATGTTGAAAACCTTTATATCAATTTTTATTTTTTTATCTAAGGAATTAGCAGAAAACTCAGGTTTGATTTTTGAAAGATTAAACAATAAGACCTGGTGTTAAATTGCATTTATTTGGTACTTGAAAGCTACGTAGCAGATACAACCATAATAGTACTTTTTAAACTGTTTAAATAAATGTTTCTTTTTGATAGGTATAGACTGGCTCCCCAACACCACTTTCCTGCTCAATTTGAAGATAGCCTTGCTGTAGTCAAGTTTTTTCTTCAGTATAAAATTCTTAGAAAATATGGAGTGGATCCCACCCGAATCTGTATTACAGGAGACAGTTCTGGGGCAAATTTAGCAGCAGCAGTGACTCAACAGGTACATTCTATTGGTCCTTCTGTTGGGAAATAGAGGTCAAAAATCATTTTTCCCCCTCTTACAGATACCTAGTTCTTCTGGAATCATTTCCTGAAAACACCATCCTTTCTTATTGGATTACGGTGATGTATGAATTTAAAATCAATTGACCATAATAACATGACAATCTGTTTCTGAATTCTGTCTTCTCTTCCATTGATCTATATGTCTATCCTTCTGCCAATACTATGCTGACTTCAGCTGTGTGTGTGTGTGTGTGTGTTTTCTAAATTGTTTCTAATACTCCATATGTTGTCCATCAAAATACTAGGCTAACTTGTCCACTTCTAAAAAAGAAAGGCCAATTGGATTTTGATTGGTATTGTATTGAATCTATAGATTTGGAGAGGATTGACATCTTAATAATGAGACTTCCAATTACTACACATGGTATATCTAATATTTTATTTAGGTCCTTTTCTTTTCAGTGCAGAAATCTTGCAAATATTTTCTCATAATTATTTCTGAGTTACTTTGGAAAATTTTATTTAAAATAATATTTTCCAAATGGTTATTGATGTATATAGAAATATATTTGATTTTTAAATTAACTTTTAAAATTATATGCTTGAATAATTTACTTACAAATTTATTAGGTTTTTTAACATTTTCTATGATTTTTATACAAACCTATCTTCTGCAATTAGAGAGAGCTTAAAAACTTTTTTCCAATTTTTAAAAAATTTTATTATTATTTTTTATTATTATTTATTTATTTTTTGTTGTTGTTGTTCAGATAGAGTGGGAGGTAGAGAGAGGAAGAGAGAGAGAGAAACATCAATGTGAAAGGTACACATTGAGCGGCCACCACCCGCACAACCCAACCAGGGCCGGGGACAAACTGCAACCAAGATACATGCCCCCAGCGGGAACCAAACCCGGGTCTCTCTGAAGCACAGGCCGATTCTCTAACTGCTGAGCCAAACTGGCCAGGGCTATTTTTTTTTTAATTTTATTTTTGTTACAGATATTTCTCCTTTTTTACTCCATTGACACCCTCCTCCCCATCGCCCCACCTGCCCCATCCCCGGTTTGTTGTCCATGTCCATCGGTTATACACATACATGCATATAAATACTGAGGTTTATCTCTCCCTCCCCCATCACCCCTTCTTCTGAGGGTTGTCACTCTGTACCCTACTTCTGTGTTTCTGGGTCTACCCTATTCCTCATACTGTTATGTTCATTATATTCCACAAATAAGTGAGATCATGTGATATTTGTCTTTCTCGGATTGTCTTGTTTCACTTACGATAATACTTTCCAGGTCTCTCCATGTCGTCTCAAAAGATAAGAGATCTTTCTTTCCTACAGCTGCATAGTACTCCATTGTGTGTATGTACCACCACTTTTTTATCCATTTGTCTACTGATGGACACTTGGGCTGTTTCTAGATCTTAGCTATCGTAAATAGTGCTGCTATGAACATGGGGGTACATATATTCTTTTTGATTGGTGTTTCAGGCTTCTTAGGGTATATTCCTAGATGTGAGATGGGTCAAAGGAAGTTCAAATTTTAATATTTTCAGGTAACACCATATTGTTTTCCATAGTGCCTGCAGCAGTCTGCATTCCCACCAGCAGTGTACTAGAGTCCCCTTTTCTCCACACCTTCGCCAAAACTTATGGTTTGATGATTTGTTGATGGCTGCCATTCTGACAGATGTGAGGTGATACCTCATTGTTGTTTTAAATTGTATCTCTCTGATGATTAGTGATGTTGAGCATTTCTTCATATGTCTCTTGGCCATTTGTATGTCCGGTTTGGAGAGGTGTCTTTTTAGGTCCTCTAACCATTTTTTAATTGTGTTCTTTGTCTTTCTTTTGTTGAGTTGTATGAGTACTCTATATATTTTGGAAATTAACCCCTTATCTGATATATCATTGGCAATTATGCTCTGCCATACAGTGGGGTGCCTTTCCATTTTGATGGTTGTTTCTTTGGCTATGCAGAAGCTTTTGAGTTTGATGTAGTCCCATGTGTTCATTTTTTACTTTGTTTCTGTTGCCTTAGGGGATGGATCAGTGAAAATTCTGTTGCATATGATGTCTGAAATTTTGTTGCCTACAGTTTCTTCTAGGTTTTTATGGATTCACAGGTCACATTTAACTACTTTATTCATTTTGAGTTTATTTTTGTGTATGGTGTAAGTTGATGGTCTAGTTTCATTTTTTTGCATGTAGCTGTCCAATTTTCCCAACACCATTTATTAAAGAGGCTGTCCTTACTCCACTGTATGCTCTTGCCACCTTTGTCAATTATTAATTGAGCATAGTGTCTTGGGTCCATTTCTGGGTTCTCTGTTTTGTTCCACTGGTCTATGTGCCTGTTCTTGTGCCAGTACCAGGCTGTTTTGATTACAGTGGCTTTATAGTATAACCTTGAAATTTGGTAATGTGATTCCTTCTACTTTGTTCTTCTTTTTCAAGATTGCTGTGGCTCAGTTGGTGTATTTTCAGCATCTCTATGTCCTTAGTCATTCTGTTTAGCTTCCTCAAGATCATGGCTCTGAATTCTAGCTCTGTTATTTTGCTTAACTGCTCCACATTTATCTCATCTTCTGTACAGGTCTCTTGTTCTTTCATTTGGTTTTTGTTTCTGTGTTTTACCATTTTGGCTATCACAGTGGGCTATGGAGCATGTCAAATTTTCCCTGTGGGTCTTAGTGTTCTGCTGTTTGTGGCTCCCTCTCCTGTGTTTGTATGAGTGAGGGAGGACCCATGTTAAACACCACAGTCAATTCCCACTTTCCTGGCTAGAGTTGCTAGCCCAGGAATGGTACAGCTATCCTCCAGCTTTTTGCCCAGGGTCTATCAGTAGTGGTTACTTGAAAAGCCTTGGGTTCTCAGTTCAATGAGAAACTCCCTCAGGTTCTCAGCATAAGGGGATTTCCAGAGGATGGGGCAGTTGTTAGTGAGCCTCAATTTGCATTTCAATTGCCCACCTGTGTGGGGTTGAATCTTCGAGGGAGGGGCTGCTGCTTCACCCCAGAGCCTTGGGAAGGAGCAAGATGGTCACCATCCTGCTTGGCTGCAACTCAGCAAAAGCTCTGAGCCTCCAAACCCCGAGAGTCCCCACACAGTTCCAGTCCAGTCCACCCTCCCTCTGGTGGAGCCCAAGGTGAGTGGTTGTGGCTAGTTTAGCATCTGTCCCGGCTCTGCACTGTGGAGCCACTTGGGAGTTTAACCCAGGGCGCTGCTCACAACTAAGGTCGCTGCTGTCTATGGGCTCCCAGCCCCGCCTTGTTCCTCTGCAATCCTACCAGGATCCAGTCAGTGTCTCTGGTTATATGATCCTCACAAGCTGCTTTTCTGTTGCTTTTTCCCATTGATTTGTCTTTATTTTAGTTGTAATTTCAGTTATGTTCTGGGAGACGGTCTGTGTAGCTTCCATTCACTTCACCACCAATTTGGAATTCCCCTAATTTGTATACTTTTATTTTATTTTCTTAATTAGTGCACTGGTCAGGGCTTCCAGTACAATATTAAATATAATTGTCTTGCTGTGGATCTTAGGAGGAAATTCTTCAATATCTCAGCAACAAATATGATGTTGATTGAAGGTTTTCCATAGTTGGCTTTTGTCAGATTGAGGAATCCTTCTGTTCTTTGTTTACTGATAGTTTTTGCATGAATGGATACCAAATTCGCTAACTGTTTTTAATGCATCTATTCAGATGACAATGTGATTTCTCACCATAACTTTTCTTAAGTGTGGTAAAGTATGTCAATTTACCTTCAGATGTTAAATTACACTTGCATTTCAGCCATGGGCCTCATTTGGTCATGATGAATAAAAATTTTTCTGAGTGGTTGATTTCCATTTTTAAAATATGTCTTTTACAGACATTGATATAAGATTTATACTGGCCTCTTTAAATCATTTCAGAAGCATTTTGATTCCTTTTTCCTTAATTTCTTTTCACTTAAATTTAAAGATAAATTACTCATGCTTGGAGCACTTAGAAGAAGATTATATAAACACACAGAGAGACAAACATATTTAGAGTTATACATATATAAACTATACACATTTGAACATATACACACACACACACACACACACACACACACACACATGCACATGTACTTGTGCCTCTATGTATGACTAATCTGTAATACCACATACACATGTAAAGCCCTAGAGTGGAGCCATTACGGCAGTGATAGCAAAGCTTCACCTTTGGCTCTGCATCCCGGGCCTCCTCGTAACCCAAGCTGCGTCACTGTATTTGCCCTTCCTGTTTGAAATGCTATATACATTTTCTTACTGGTAAAAAGGAAGTTTGCAAATGGGTTTGTTGATTCCTGAGATCTCTTCCAAGCTGAATTAATCTGGTATCTATTTGAAATAACATGTCACTTATTTGAAGGATCTTTCTGGTACGAGGTGGGAAGTGTGATGGAGAAAAAAATTTGGAAACTGTCCCCACTTTCAGAGTATTATTCTTGCTACTATGCCAAGCCATATAACAATCTGATTTATATTTAAAACTGGTTTTATTATTGTAGAGATTCTGAAAAGTGTCCAACAATTACTCAATAATGATTAAGCAGCACCTTGCATACCTATAATTTCTACATGTGCAATGTAATGTTTGCTTGGTTTTGTAAGTATTGAAAGCTTTTGAAATGATTATCAAATGTAACCTTAGAGATTTATGAAGATATAAAAACCCATGGGCCTCATAGCATTTCAGCAGGGCAATCTTGAATATTAACACAGCCACCAAAAATAAATGCAATTCTAGGTAAAAGTTGTAGTACAAGTTGTTCTCATGAAGTAAATTAAAATTTTATGTTATTCTAGTCTTTGAATTAATTATACGAGAACAGAGTATATATTTAAATTTTTGATCTATCTGTTCAAAGAGATTGTTTCAACTGAGAATACTGCATTAAAAACTCAGTGCACTTTAATAACATAAAAAAAGTGAGTTCCTTTACCCTTTCTGATATATT